TATATATATATATATATATTTATTTAATTTAAATTTTTCTTTCAGAACTCTATGAGATCGACACTCATGTCTTCAACAATTTAATAACTGGTATTATTGCAATGACAAAAGTTAGGAGGTAAATATATATGTAGGTACGTGTACATATTCATAATGAGCACTAATTAACCTTTCGAAATAAATCTGTTATGTTGGTTTGATTCAGCCTGCTCCAAACTATTTTTTAAAGAAAAAGTGTCTGAAATGCTTTTTTTAAGCTTTCCTTTGTATACAAAAGCTTTGTAAGGCTATTGTTTCATTAACTGACTCCTCTGCCAAATTCTTTGATGCCTCTTTCACATCTTCATCGTTGCCTTTTCCTTTTGTATCTGCCGCTGATAAAACTTCTGCAGTGGTTAATGAAAAAAACTCACTGCGCTGATGTCAAAAAGTAGTTCTTGGGCTGCGGAAAAAATGGATCTCAGGCACAACTGTCGGAAAATTCAGCCCCAAATGGGTTGAGGCTGTCCGACTCTGTACGGGAGCTGATTAATTTAGAGGAAAATATTCCTTTTTTTTTTGTCTATTTTAGATCATTTTTCATTTATAAGACAGTTCATAAATACTCGCTAGCTATCTTTTCCAGGTAGTCTAATTTTGTTTGCGCTTGTGCCACGCAAATATAATATATGTATATGCTGTTATTATATCAAAATAACTATCGATATAGTTTTTCCCTTTTGAAGTATCAGACCAAATGAATAAATAATTATAAATAAGCAACTCTGAACGGACATATATATATATGTATATATATAAATATATACATATATATGTATATTAATGTTGGTCGGACCAGAATTCGAACCCTGGCCTTCTGAATGGCAATACGCAATGCTAACCACTCGGTTATTGCGGTCGACACAATGGAAAATAATTAATCGAGTAATGGAAGTACATAATCGGCATTCGGAGCAACTCCACTAATTTAATGTGTGTGTATTGATCTTGCAGCAAAAAAGGAATTGAAAAATATTTGTAAATGTAAAATTGTTTATATTATTAAAACGATATTTTTTATGTTTATAAATATTTAATATCGTTCATGTATTGAATCCTCCTTTGTTTTGAAAACCAAATACATGTAAATATATACTCGTATACGTGCCTTATTATGATAATATTACAAAATTTGTTAAAGATGTTAATTACAGATGTACAATTTTTTTTTATAATTTTGAATGTGTATACACATATACATTTGTACATGTATACATTTTTTGCATAATTTTAAAATACGCCAATATTGTATCGATATGTACATATACATATGTATATATGTTATTTTGTATTTTAAATAAACAAAAAAAAAAAAACATTAAAATCATGATTTAATAATTAAAGGTTGGATAAGTGAACAACTTTCTCGCTCCCACTTGACAAAAACGGTAGGCCGTCAGCTCCAGCCGATTTGTTGATCTTTAAGGGCAAAATCGCTATTCGAATCTCAACATGTTTCAATGGAGAAGTGCTCTCTCCTTAAATTTAGTATATTCTGGGCATCTGTAATTAGATCACCCATATGGATCCTACAAGAGTCGCTGAAAGCCGACGTATTTTTTTGTAGAATAAACATTAAACCTATCGGCCAGCTTCTCAAGCTCATCACTCACGCACTCTGGCCTCTTTCTTTTTTCCTGCAAATACGTCTTGGTTCCCTCTTTAGCTCTATCCCATCCTCGCAACGTTGCGTGGTATGTAGCCTGCTTTCTCTTCACTACTGCACGACAGTTCACATTGTACCATCTGTTTTTTGATCACTGCTCTCTGAGAGCAGGAGTGCAAGTGGAGTAGAAAACCGTTCGACTGTCTGTTGTGGCTACCGCTTTTTGACTTCGAAACATTTTTTTTTTTTTTTTTTTGAGGGTTGCTCCGAGTTGATGTTAGATCCGCGGAATGTTCGCACGCCAAGAGCACTAGAGACATGTATTCCATCTATCCCAACATGATCGATATGGTTTGGGTTTTTCGACAAATTAGTACAGTGATTAATTTTCTTATGCTGGAATCGAGTACTGAAGTCAACCCTATTTCGGGCTCCAGCGAAGTCGATCAGCCACAACCTACTTAAATTTTCCGACAGTTGTGCCAAAGATATCCTTTTTGCTTACCCTAACGTTGAAGTCGCCAAGCACAGCGCAGTGGTTAATACGCTTATTAAAGGTATCCTTTGTCACATCGTCCTTCTTTTATGTCGTGGCATGGACGCAAGTCAACGTTGTTTTTTAAAATTTCGTTTTGATGCGGATTGTTGTAAGACGTTGATCCGCCGGAGTGAATGGCAGCATTCGGTGACGAAGTCCCTCTCCCACCACGAATCTGGCACCAAACTTGCGCTCCTGTTGTTGTTGTTGTTGTAGCGGTTCGCTAACCCAGCTTAAACACAGGTTTGATCAGTCTAAATCGCCGAGGTCATCTAGTGGTAGGTCCAAGAAACGAGCTGTTTCGACGGGGTTGGACCAAAGGGAGAAGGGGTTAGATGAGTGGGTTTGAAGGGGCATGTGAAGAGGTGGTTAGTGTCGTGCGGAGACTCTCCACATGCAGGGTATACGTTGGGTATGCTGGGGTCTAGTGTGGATAGGTAGGAGCTTAACCTGCTACAATATCCAGACCTGAGTTGTGTCAGGGTCACGCGGGTCCAAACTTGCGCTCCTTTATATGGCCGCTGTAGTAAATGACACAAGTCCCTACTCACTTTCCTCCTTATCCCGTCCATCGCACTTCTTGGACGACGGTGATGTCAGCCTTTAATTTTATTAGAACATCAATCAAATTATGCAAATTCTCTTAATTTAACCCATTAAAAGTAATTGTACTATTTATAATTTTATTATTTTGCACATCCATTAATTTTTAATTGTTGCATATAATTTAGAAAATATAGCTATATTATTTTAATTTCAAAAGTATTTAATTCGTGCTTAAAATGAATGAAATAAATTAAATCTCATATAAATTACCTACTATTTCTCATACATTTTAACTTCTTTTTTGCTAGCTTTTCCCTGTTTTTTTTAATGGAACATATTGTTGCGAAAATGCGAGGCGAATGTCAGATGAAAGAGAGAAGCCGATAACACAAGAACCTTCCATAGCGAACAATTCGATGCTTCTACGCTTTCGTCTGCGAGCAGCCGACTGCTATATAAAGGCGACACTCAGCTGCAAGTCAAGCGGTGACAAAGCAAATTGGTTGGCGTTAACATCAGTGAAGACGTAAAGTGAACGCGTAGGGAATTACATTTAAGTAGAGGAAATTGTGAAAGTTGATGTTAGTGATTATAAATAGTAAAGTGCAGTATAATTGAATTGTGAATTACTGAGAAAATAAAGGACATTAGATAGAATCTTTATAACGAAAGAAACTGCAAATTAAGTTGGCGAGTTTTTATTTAACAATCCAGAGATCGTACCCGAAGGATCTAGAAAATAATCGAGGTTGATTCAGTAAAATCGTAACAATATTTTTTCCTCCTTTTTACTACTTTCCAAATTGCAACCATTTGTAAGAGAGTGTCAAAACTCCATCGTTATTACTTATCCAACCTTTAGTTATTGAATCACGGTATTTAACGTCATTCCCTTCATGATGTATAAAAAATGAGTTTTTAAAATATTACTGTGCACATAACAACCCTGCACTAAAGTATTTTTATTTTTATGCCGTATGGCTACACACAATTATTGCTTTTACCGGAAATTTCTCTTGCAAATCATTTCGGAATATTATACAAAAATAAAATAGAATTACTACAATTTTTATTAGTCGCGTGTGAACAGATTAAAGTTAATATTTTGCATCATGTATGTTAAATAAGTGCAGGTGCTAGGTAAAAATTTGTGATGCAATTGTAAATTTTTTAACAACAAATTTTACCAACATTTATGGTAAAATAAAAAAAAACAAACATAGATTAGGTCAACAGCAAAACTCCTGCAAATTTCATTAGGATTGGTCAATTAGTTTGGCTGAAATCATATAGGAGAGCCAAGCCAAAACTTGAATTAATTGCCGTGCAAGTTGAACTGTGAAGGCGTTCAATTAACTCTTGTCAAAAATTTGGCATACTGCAACACCTAAAAGTTACACTTTAGTAAATTCGCTGCCTTATCCAATTTCTGTCAAAATCTTTTTGATTGGTCTTGTTGTGGAATTTGTATTTCTTTCGAAACCTTTTTTCGAATTAAGAAATATTAGCGATGGATGGACTTTTAGGACGCAGCCAATTTCTAGGTGAGGCAGTAAATCTTTTCACCGATGAGAAAACTGCAAATGCTCGCAGTAAAGTAAGTAAATGTGCAATTGTAATTAAAAAATATTCCATTTTGCTTTGTTGGTTTAACTATTTAAGAAAACAATTGTTTTGTTATTACGTTTAGGTTGTAGAGTGGCTCAATGATGTACCCAACGCAGAGGCTTCGACTAAGTGTGACTTGCTGGTTAAAGTTCAAGAAATGATTCTTGGTTCTTGTGTGGAACTGCTCGAAGAGTTCCTGGAGCATATACTCTCGTTAGCACATGATGCGAATGCAGATGTCCGCAAACAAGTGGTTTGTTTTATCGAGCAAATTTGGTATGTTTGACGAATCAATAAGAATTCTTTAACAGTCTAAAGAATTATTGTATTTCAGCAAAGTTAAAGTGGAGTTACTCCCACAAGTTATAAGCATCGTTTCTATGCTTCTACGTGATCGTTCGCCTCAAGTAATTAAACGTGTTATACAAGCATGTGGTAGTGTGTACAAAAAAGGCTTGCAATGGATCTGTGCCATCGACGAGATGTCGGACAGCGCAGAGCAAGCATGGAGTGTACTTAGTTTAGTAAAAGCACAAATTTTGGATCTAATAGATAATGAAAACGATGGGATTCGCACAAACGCGATCAAGTTCCTGGAGGGCATTGTTGTGTTGCAAAGTTACCCGGATGAAGATAGTCAAAAAAAAGACAACGACTTTTCTTTGCAAGATATTCCATTAAATTCAAAGTTGGTTAAACGAAAAAAATTGGAAGAAGAAGCTTTAAATATTTTCGACATATTGTTAAAATTTCATGCCGCTACTCATATATCATCTGTGAATCTCATAACTTGTACTGGAAGCCTGTGTACCATTGCGAAATTGCGTCCTAGTCTTATGGGCCCAGTGGTAGATGCTTTCAAGCAACTTAATTCAAATCTTCCTCCAACTCTTACAGATTCACAGGCCAGCTCTGTTAGAAAGAGTTTAAAAATGCAACTAGTGGCTTTGTTAAAGAATCGTGGATCCTACGAATATCAAGCCACTATTCGACATATGCTGTCAGATTTGGGAGCATCACAAGGTGAAATCCAACGCGCTATACCAAAGATGGATAAACAGGAGCAAACACGACGTCAAAAACGCATATTGGAAAGCGCAGCTAGTAATATACACAAAAAAATGCGTCTTGATTCTATAAACAGGCAACAAGAACGCAGAGCCAAATCTGGCGCTGATAATGAAAATACAAAAGAAGTAGAGATGGAAGTTGATGAAGAAGAGGTGGAAAAACAAAGGCAGCGTTGTTTACGAGTAAATGAAAAATTCTTAGCTGAGCATTTGCGTACAACTGATATGGCAGTGAATCTAGTTGTAGAATTTTTACCTAAGTTACCAGGTGAAGTTCCGGATCATTTCTTAAATGAATATGCGCCCATCAAAGATATGTCCATACAACAGCAGGTGGGAAAGATAGCAAAATTGCTTGGCGAACAAATGACCGCGCAAAAAATAGGACCAGGCTCTGCCGCCTTCAGCAAAGAAATTCCCATGAGACCACGACCACTGGAACCCATGGATACAACTGAAAGGTAATTTTCAAATATTAATTGTTTTGTTTGGTTTTCATATCGATAAAAAATAAAATCCTTTTTTTATTTTTAGTGAGCAACCGGTTGATGAAGATCAATTGAGAAAAGACGAAGCCACTAAAAAATTACGTGAAAACATGGAGAGAGTCAAAGGCGAACAAGAGCTAATTGAACGAATGAAAATGCGTGCTAAAACTCTGAAATTACAAGAAGTAACCAAACCATTTTCTCGCTCAGTTAAGGAAAAATTTCTTTTAGAATCTGTGAAGCGCATTACACAATCAGAGCGGCAGTGTATAGTGGGTGGCGTGTCGGCAAAGCGTCGTAAAATACTTACCGTTATGGCAGCAACATTCCCTGATAAAGTGCGATATTTCATTTTCGATTTCATTATGCTTGACGTGCGACAGCGTATTGATTTGGCGTTTACATGGTTGTATGAGGAATATTGCTTACTACAAGGCTTCACACGACATTCTTACGTTAAATCTGAAAATCGTCCAGACCATGCTTACAATGAACTATTGAGCCAGCTGATCAAAGGCGTGCGTGAAACTTGTGATTTAAAGGATAAAATTCATTTAATGCGGCGTATTTTACTCGAAGCACCATTGCTGCCCGATGAAGCACTTAATCAGTTGGTTGAAATGTGTTTCTCTGAAGAATTTGTGAATCCGGGCGTGGATCTGTTAAAAGATTTGACCATACTGCGACCACCTCGTAAAAATAAATTGATAAAAGTGCTTCTACTCTTTTGCGTACATGAACGTACAGATTTACGAGAGCGTGCACTGGAACATATTATATCACTGTATCATGTAAACAAAGTACTACCGAATCGGATTGAAGAGTTTGCTTTAGAATGGGCAACACATTTGGAAAAGGAGGTACCACCACCAAGCATTTTCGCAGAAGAATTCGGCCGACCTGAGGCCGAAGTACAATGGAAGGAAGAAACTGCTAAAACATGCTTGACATTGCTGCTTACATTATTACCTTACAAGCCAAAAGGTATGGGATAGTTATCATATCGGATGTTCAAATTTAATTTATTATTCATCATTTTAGTTTTTCTGGAGAAGCTGTGCAAAATCTACACAACGACTGCCGCTGATTTGAAACGTACTGTTCTACGCTCTATCGATCCGGCTATCAAGAAAATGGGTGTAGAGGACATAGCATTACTGAAGCTCATCGAGGATTGTCCAAAAGGATGCGAAACGCTTATCATTCGTGTTGTACATCTATTAACAGAGCGTGTAGCGACCCCCAATGTGGAACTTGTACATCGTGTACGAGAACTTTATGCCAACAAGGTCAATGATGTGCGTGTACTCATACCTGTACTCAGCGGTCTCACACGCCAAGAGGTTCTAAATGCGTTGCCGAGGTTGCTTAAATTAAATCAAATTGTCGTTAAAGAAGTTTTCAATAGGCTACTTGGCATTGGTGCTGATTTCGCTAATCAGACAATGGCGGCTTCACCTACCGATATACTTGTCGCCTTACATACCATGGATCCGAATACATGTGATTTAAAGGCTATAGTTAAAGCCACTTCCATCTGTCTGACTGAAAAAGATGTATTCACCCCGGATGTGCTAATCGGTGTGTTACAACAGCTGGTGGAAGTAGTTCCAATCCCGACGCTTCTTATGCGCACCATTATCCAAAGCATTACACTTTATCCACGTTTAACAAATTTTGTATTAAATCTTCTACAAAGACTCATTTTGAAGCAAGTATGGCGGCAAAAGGTGATTTGGGAAGGTTTTCTCAAATGTTGCCAACGATTGAAGCCACAATCATTGCCTGTCTTGTTACATTTACCACAACAGCAACTCGTAAGCGCATTGGAACAATGCCCAGATCTGAGGCAACCGTTATTTGAATACGCACAAAGTATTCAGGAAGAACCAATGAGTGGAATCACACCACAATTGCTAGATGTAATATCAGGAAAAACCGTAGATTTATTTATAGCGGTAAGTGCTTCGGTTCATTAAAATATATTAATGTAAACCGTTCTACATTATTGTAATCTTTCAATCTTTTATTTCAGGACGAAAGTGGAGGCTACATTACTGTTGATCAAATCAAAAAAGAGGTTGAAGATCCCACCGAAATTGGTGTAATATCAACCATACCTATTGCATCAGTACCGGCACCAGTTCCCGCCCTTATTCCAACACTTGGGACTGTCAGCACACCGCAGCCCACTTCTTCTCAACCCTTACCACCAGGCGAAGATTAAATGAGAGTGCATATATTTGTTTTACAGTGTTGAATCTTTATATGTAGATGTAATAAACACTTTAATTGATAAAAAAATATAAGTATAATTAAATTTTAAAAATATAGTTCGTGAATATTTATAATTTTCGGGTTAGCGTTATAACACATAATGTTAAGCGTATTCTCAAATGCTTACTTCTGCTACCATTTTTTCTCCTTTTAATCCAGCTAATATATTTAAAGCTGTAATTCTAGACATTTCTATACGAGTATTTACGTCTGCGCTTCCAATATGAGGCAATATTACAACATTGTCTAGTTTTAGTAGCGGATCGTCAAGCGGCAGCGGTTCGGGTGTAGTGACATCTAACCCAGCACCCAGAATGCGTTTGTCCTTTAAAGCAGCGCACAGTGCTGTTTGATCAACAACACCACCACGGGCCGAGTTAATAAAAATGGCATTCGATTTCATTTTTTTGAATGCGTCTGTGTTGAAAATTTCCTTCGTCTCCGGGGTAAGAGCACAACATGCGACTATGAAATCGGATTCGCATAACATTTCATCGAAACTGACGCGTTCTGCATTTAATTTTACTGCTTCAGTAGTTCGTTCAGTACGTGCCGTATACGTTAGTTTTGACGGTTTAAAGGGTACTAACCGCGCAGCGATCTCTTGCCCAATACGTCCAAAACCGAACAAGCCTACACGTGCACCTTTCAGCCCTTGACCGCACATCCAATCCGGAGCCCATGATTTCCAACCGCCATTATAAACTTCTTTGTTTGCTTCGAATAAACGACGGCTAGTGGCTAGTAATAGCGCCACTGTTAGTTCCGCTGTCGCATCGGTAAGCACATCAGGAGTATAGCCAACACGTATGCCGCGTTTCTTACACTCGGCTACATCGATGTGTTCATATCCAACTGAAATGGTAGCGATGCATTTAAGCTGTGGTCCTGCTCTTTCAATAATTTCTGAATCGATTTTATCAGTTAGCGCACAGTAAATGGCGTCCTTGCCAACAACCTGACGAAGTAATTCGTCGCGTGGTACGGGCACTGCTTGTGACCAGCTGCTAACATCACACCTGTTAGAAATGTATTCTTTGAGTTCATAGAATTGTAAATACAAAAACTCTACTCACTCTTTCTTTAACAAATCTATGCCTATTGATGCAACATCAGGACGGGTCACATACACGCTTTTCATGCCGCTTGTTGTTTTGGAATATTGCAATGAGTTCAATACTACTTTGGTTTCCAGCAAATTAACAGAGATCGGCGATTTGTGCAAAAATACAAGTAGCAATCGACTATTGGATCGTGACAACAATGAAATTAACGACATTGGAATATAAGGTAGCCGCTACAACAACAACAGAAAGTAGCTCTGTTCTGGGAGAAGTGTCAGCAATAAATAAGAAGTCATGCTCACAGAACGCGTTTAAGTAAAAATTGGTATCAATTGTTACTGCCCACCAGCTCACCGAACAGGACTACTATGTTGCTGTTGCCGGCTTTTGTGACATTTGGAGCTGTATGGACCTAATCAGCTGACATTATTGGAATGAATCGGAATTGAATACTTTAGGGTCGCTAACATTTAACTGGAAATATTACACATAAGAGTTTAAAAATGAGAACAAATTCAGAGAATATGTATGCGTGTTAAGTAAGGTATTTAAAGTGAGTAGGAAATATTTTCTATGTCGACTGACTTCGACGTCACAGATGAATACATTTTTCAAACAATTTATTAATGAATAATTAACATCATTTTACCAAGGAAATTACTTTATTTAACAAGAGTGTCATGTATTCATCTAATAGCCCAACAAAATAGTTCTATCTGGCATTGGCTTTATGGATATCCTCTTTTCTGCAACTTAAAAAGTACTTTTATTCTAAAGATATGGCAATGTCGTACTACAGCTGGTTTTGGTTAATTTAAATTACAATAACAAAACAAAACATTTAGATTTGTACATGTTTTAATAGTCGGTAAATTTTGTGTGCTTGTTTTCATGTGCTATTTAATTAATTAAAGTAATGCAAAGAACCTTCAGGATTTTTTCAAAGATTTGTAGATTCCAATTAAGAAGTAAACCAAAACTTATACGAGGATTGAACACAACGTTTGCCTATCGAATGTCACAAGCGAATCAGCCTGCTCAAGAATCACCAGTTCAGCAAATGAATTTTAAGCCACTTGGCATACCTTCCAAAATGCGTACCAATCCAGCACTCAAAAAAATTGATAGCCCTGAGTTCCAAGGCATTTTCACGGAAGAACTGCGAGAGCTAATTAGCATATTCCAGCGCTATAATTACGAAGTACGCATAGCCGGTGGTGCAGTGCGAGATATCGTAATGGGCATAAAACCGAAAGATATCGATTTAGCTACTACGGCTACACCGGATCAGATGAAAGAAATGTTTACTAAAGAAGGTGTGCGAATGATAAACGCAAAAGGGGAGAAACATGGCACCATAACCCCGCGTATACATAATAAGGAAAACTTTGAGGTTACAACGCTACGAATCGATGTACGCACCGATGGTCGACATGCGGAAGTAAGTTCTAAATTAGTGTAAATAATCAAAGGATAATGTAAAATGATTTTAATAAAGGTACAATTTACCACCGATTGGCAATTGGATGCGAATCGACGGGATCTTACCATAAACTCCATGTTTCTTGGTTTCGATGGCACTCTTTATGATTACTTCTATGGCTATGATGACTTAATGCAAAGACGTGTTGTATTTGTTGGTAATGCCGATGTGCGCATCCAAGAGGATTACTTGCGAATTTTACGTTACTTCCGTTTTTATGGTCGCATTGCTAAGGAACCGTGCAAGCATGATGAGGAAACTTTAAAAGCAATTCGTGCAAATGTTGATGGTTTGGCCCGTATTAGTGGGGAACGAATTTGGGCTGAGCTGCAAAAAATTGTCGTGGGCAATTTCAACTGCGAGTTAGTAGAAGAAATGATTGCTTGTGGTTTAGGACCATATTGTGGACTGCCAGCGAATCCTAACATTGAGGAGTTCAAAAGCCTTTGCGTCAATTTGACCAGCTATTCAAAGCCCCATTTTCCGATATTATTTATTATTGCATTACTTCATACACCTGAAGACGCTATGCAATTGCATCAGCGGCTTAAACTTTCGGCTTATGAGAGAGATTTGGCCCTGTTTATTACACAAAATAAACAAAAGGTAACTCACAAAACTGCAATATCATATGAAATACTTTGCTAACTTTTTCCTTAGGTTGGAGTGGAATTTTGCACATTACGCGATTTCCAAAGACTGTGTTTACAACCTTACGCTAAGCGCGATTATGTAGAGGAATTGCTAAAATATAAAAATAAATTTGCTCTTTACAATGATTTGAAATCATGGGCTACCCCGCGTTTTCCTCTTAATGGTAGCATGTTAAAAGAAAGCGGATTAAATGCCGATAAACGGATGGGCGTAATTATGACACGTCTTCGCTCAATTTGGATTGATAGTGATTTTTCATTAGGAGCAGATGAATTGCTAAAAGAACACCTGCCGAAAGTGGTAGAGGGCTTAAAAGAGACACAAACTACGCCTAATAAAAAGAGGAAGTCTGACTGATTTGTAAATCGAAATAACTTGTAAATAACTGTTGGCACACTTTGTAACATTCATATATTTTCATTAAAAATTCAGTTATCTATTTTTAATTCGTTATTATAAAAGATTCTTTCATAAAAAAAAATATATATATATTTTTGTACTACGAAATTGAATTATAACAAATTTTTTGCTTAGTATTTCTATCACAGCCGAAAAATATGTATTTTTTATTTTTTGTGAAATATTTGAATTGGACGCTTAAAGCCTTCGGCACAATCTTCAGGTATACCCATTATTTCAAAGCTTTCGAAACCCACATCCGCTGATAAGAGGTAGTCATTAAAGTGCTCAGGGAAAAATAGCATAGCTTTAAAATTAGCATTAATAGTATCCTGAAAATAATGTGAAAATAGAAATCAATAAAAATAAATATTCCAAAAGTCTATACTGTCATTTTTTTCCTTCGACCATAATTCCTATAAGGTTGGGCTTCCAATATTAGTTTACCTCCACTGCGGAGTTGTAGATACATACGCCGAAATGCCTGCTTTAGCCCAATATCTCCAAAATTCAAATGTATCCACTTAGTTATTGACAAGCATAGGATTACATCGAATTGTGCATGTTCGATTTCCAGTAATACATCATCTCGTAACACATAGTTGCCATGCACAAAGCTTACATTATATGGAAATTTATGTAAGCAGCGTGCATTATTTTCAAAAGGTAGAGCTTTCTTTTGACGCAACAAAGCCTTGTTCGCTTGATTGATGAGTGTGCGATCGATGTCTAGGCCCACAATACTTTTTACGTCAAATCGTTTTGCGACCTCCATGGTTATAAGACCACTATTACAACCGATGTCAAGTAATTGTTTGTTTTCGAAAAGCTCCACGCGCTTAGCAAACACCTCTAATCGTTTATCAATGCATTCGTTTCCTTTATTCCGGTATCCGTAATATTTGTTATAATTGCCATAAATAAATTGTTCTTTTGCATTATTTTGTATAACAGGAGCTATTTCTAGGCGTTTCTTAGGACTTTGATGACAATTTATTTTAAGCGGTAAGTTTATTGTTCCCGCGGAGTGTTCGTGGGTAAACGTATCTGCCGGTTTTGGAAGTTTTTCTGGAGTTTCCAACGAAATTTGCAGTTTTGTTTTTTTGACATCACTTTCACTGTTTTTGTTATAATTTGCTTTCCTTTTTTCTGCATTTTTTTCGTTTTCAATGGGTTTTATAAGTGTGATTTCTCGATTTATATCCATCTGAAGTATTATTAAAAAATAAACATGTTTCAAATGTCCCCTTTTTCTATTGCATTTGTGTCAGAGAACGTATAAATACGTTATTATACGTTCTCTGGTTGTGTATTGATCATTCACAATAAACACATTTATTTTAATTTCGCTGGATTGTGTTTTGTTGCCAACTCAAGGTATTAGAATCAGATATAAATAAAAAGGCGTGCTGCCATACATAATCCGCCAAAAATTGATTTTCTCCAAAAGTATAATTACATGTCTGACTAAGAGAGTGAAAAATTTTTTCCAATATTCAACGCAATTATACCCAACTATAATTTATCAGTAGTGGCATTGTTGACAAATATTAAAAAAGGCCCCTGTTATTTTTGCCCATGGAACTTCAGCTCGCTTGGAACGAGCGTAGACGTCGTGTGCTGTGTGTCAAAGAGGCGTTACAATTGACTGTAGAGTTACACTATATGTTGCCACGACATGGCACACGCCATCGTACCAATTATTTATGCTTGGGTTATCGTCTCCAATAACATCTTCCACAGAGGCACGAAGAAAGTATCGTTTTTGATTGAAGCTTATCAAGGGTAAACTTTCTTTTTTGAGTCAAGTCGTTGTTGGCTCCTTGGATTAAGCGCACATCAAGAACTCTCAAATCGTATCGTCAATCGTAACGAGATTATATATGGTTCTTCGAGCAGAGGACACACAGGTGGCCTTGTGAGTGTTTTTATGGTGGTATCGCTTCCTCCCGTTTTCTGAGCAGTTCCCATGAAGACTGAGATAACCGACTGTAGGACCAATATTATTTTCTTTGCCTACCCTAGCCACATGGCAGCGGTAGTCGTTTTTCGCGAGCTGCAGTGATATCAGCTATATATGTCTGGATCGAGTAGTTGAATATCGGCGCCTTCGCTGTAGAAAGTGCGGTCAGATCTAAGTGTCAATTATTGTCTTTATTTCGATATTATCCGAAGCATTTTTGCTGATCGATTGTTTGCAATACCATGTTACTACACAAAAAATCCTTAAAGCTATTTGACTGTCACCAAATCGTAGAACTGGCATCCAAATTGATCATGTTGTGATTGAAAAATGGCGTGTCTCAGTGGATTTGACAGACGTACGCTAAGAGGTTCTCACATTAATTGGGACCACTATTTTGTAGCACCAAAGAAACGCCCCTCTGCAGCGTACAACGACCGTTAAAAACACAAGGAAGCTTCGACGGTAATGATATTCAATCACAACAACTCGACTTGCACTCCTGCTCTTTCGGAGCATTTATGAGCTACAAACGAAGCCATTGGTTTTCACCAAGAAAAAAAACAGATGACCTACCTCGCAACGTTGTGTTCTATTACAAAACGTGTGGGCTAAGATAGATACCAAAATTGAAGGAAAGTTGGCCGACAAGGCTTAAAAAATTCTACGGTCTCAAGATCGGTGCTCAAGAGGTGATATAATGCCTGAAGCCAAGAGTATATTGAATATATGATGTCTACTGAATGATAGTCTGCGGGTACCTATGAGCTAATCAAATACGGCGAAGAAGAACTGGTAAGGTGAAAGCCTTTGCAGAATATGGTCGGAGGAAAGCATTCCTGACAATTGGATGGCAAGTGCGCTCTGCCCAATTCACAAAAACGGAAGATCCACAGGTTGCGTCAACTAAAGTGAGAGTCTTGTTCCCATATAAGGTTTTATGGAGCGTACTGTTGGAAAGACTAAAGTCCACCATCGACAAGCTGATTGGACACACCCTCTCATCGCCGATTTCAAAGTAGCAAATATGGCGTTAAGCAACGCCAAAGTCTCGGTCAGAATCGGGAAGGGCCTCTTGGAGAAGTTCGATATCAAAGGAGGTTGAAGATCTCTTTAATCTACTGCTGCAGATAAAAATACGAGCTGCAGAGCTAAATAGAGAAGGAAATCGTAGATAATTTCGTCTACCTTGGAACCATCATTAACCCCAACAACAAAGTCAACTTTGAAATTCAACGCAGAATCACTCTTGCCAAAAGGGGCTTCTTTGTCCGAAGTAAATATATAATTAAAGCCGCGTTAGCCGAGTCGTTAGCATTGCGTACTGCCATTCGGAAGGCTCGGGTTCAAATCCTCTTGCGACTAACATCCAAATGTTATAGAAAATTAATTTAAATAAAAAATTAAGTTAAATTTTCTGATTGCGGTCGCCCCTCGGCAGGGAATGTCAACCCCTTCGAGTGTATTTCTGACGTGAAATAAAGATCCTCATAAAAACCATAAGCCGTTCGGAGGCGGCTTAGTATAAACTGTAGGTCCCTCTATTTGTTGGAAAAAACATCAAGACGCAAAACCACAAATTGGAGGAGGAGCACGGCAAAAAGAATCGCTTCAGCGGTTACAAAACGCCAATTATATACACATATATATATAAGTCCCAAACTCTACAAGTCACTAATCATTACCGGCCTTTTATATGGAGCAGGGACATGAGCGACGTCAAAATCTGTTGAGTAGGTACTAGGAGTTTTCGAGAGAGGTTTTGCGTAAGATTTATAGTCCTCTGCGCATTGGCAGCAGCGAATACCGGAGTCGGAGGGAACGTTGAGCTATACAATATATACGCTAACAATCACATAGTTCAGCGAACCAAGAGGCAGCGGCTCAATGAGCACATTAACTAGATTCGAATGAATGAGAACACTTCATATTTGATAGTGAAGGACTTGCCTTCACTAGGTATCTACAATTGGCGCGCTGTTGTTAATTCAGCTATAATCGTGTAAGCTGTAATTTTGCCAGTGAAGAAGAAGAAGAGGTAGATACCTACGTACATTGTAGTCTTTTCAAATAATATGGAAACAATTCAGGGTGCATTCGTTAAATTTAATAGAGAATATAGGCATTGATAGGGGATTTAAAATAATAGGGGTTGAACAATGGATATAATCTGGTGGCGAGCGGTCAATCCACTGGTCAGTTCTCAATTCAAATATTTGTTTTGCCTTGTTTTTTGCATTCCAGACGTGGAAGGGTTGCTCGTAATTGTCTGCTGTGAAGATCGTGTCATATTTCGCCACGCGCCAATGTTGGTATTAAGGCAACGGTTGTTAATTTAAAACAGTTAATTTTTTGCACGATCGTAAATTAAAAAAAATCAGCGGTGGAGACCATAGAAATATGAGGGAGCTCTTAAATATTAGTGATTTTTTAACTGCTGCTGTCTCTTGATTCGCTGGACTACGCCACTGTCGCCATATATCTCGTTGAGCTCATCATTCCATTGGCTCGTTCGGGCATTTCACCTGGTAACTGGCGAATGACACGCGTGATGTTTTGCTTCACGACCTGAATGTAATTGTCCGTATAGACTTTAGAGTTCACATATCTCCCAAGAAAAAACTATAAAGGTGTGATATCATATGATCTTGGTGGCCAATCGATCACCAAATATCGCCGAGATCACGAGTTTTAGTTTCAGGCATCAAATAGTCGGTTATCATGGCGCCATAACGGTCGCCATTGACGGTTACGTTCTCACCGTTATCATTTTTGAAGAAATATGGGCCGATGATTCTGACGCCGGCCTACAAATTGTTGATTTTTTGGATGAAATGACAGCTCTTGCATCTCTTCGGGTTGCTCTTCGTTCAAAATGTGGCAATTTGGCTTGCTTACATACCCATTGAACCAGAAATGGAAAACGTCGAATCTTCTTGGAACCTTAAGATCTCGACGTAAAAAACGCCAACTCGTTCCATACGTCAATCCGAGTTGCTGCCAACGGCGTCGTATCGACACCGCTGGACGTAATCTATTCGGTCGAATATTCTCCAATAATGAATGCTAGGTCTCAAGATGAGTGATAGTGTTGCGCGTGAAACATCTTCTTTACAAAGCGAGATTTGAAACCGTAGCTCAAGCGTAAGTCTTTGTCAGTATTATAAGTTTTCGAGACTAACCCAATTAACGTATAATGTGTCCAAGAAACAAAAACCCTCTGCCAGGTGAATGTCACCTACTCCTTCCCTAGTAGGGAAGATTGAACAGAAGGTGGGCTCATCGGTAACAGTGAAGGCATTCATACCTATACTCATGGATGTAATTGTGAGCCAGGCAAAGGTAGCTTCAAACTCAATGACAAGCATTTTTGTCTTCCAAACAGTGATTGTGGGCATTACTGAAGGCGTTAAATGGGCAGTCAAGCGGCAATTAAGGCGATTAAGAGTGTCACAATCCACCTCAGATCTTTCAACGCCTTCAAATGATATTTAAAGCAGTGGGCCATGGAGGGACACTCTGTTTTGCAACTTATCCGAAGTAAGTCGTACCAGTGAATTATTGCAGGACAGCGCGGATAGTAGACAGACAAAACTGTTGCTTACATTGGTCAGAAGAAAAGTTAGCAATCTTTGCAGATATATTAACAGTGCTTTTACCCTCGGGTTATCGTCTCTACGAACTAGGTAAACTAGCATCGGTTGAGTGCAGAGCAGGCACTATCTTTACGACTGTCCGGCCGTCAGCCGATGGAGACGCCATATCCTTTACTATTTTCACAACACCAACTTTACGGAGGTGGGCAAGCATTGTTGGAAGAAAACAAAATAATTTATAAAATCGAGCGAACTATTTGGAAACGTTTAGTTGGAATGCAAGAGAAAGCCGTTTTCGGTCAGGTGCTCAACCCTCCTCTTTCAACCAACCAAATTTATAAAAAATCTTTAAAGAAATTGAAGTAAAAATTGTTGGGGTCTGATTTTTAAGACTTATTGTGATAAAATTTGATGGTTTTGAACTGATTTAACAACAGAAAGATGATAAAACGGAAAGTTCCTTTGGATACCAGCACATCCCGAATCCCTCCTGTCCATAGTACACATCGAGCCAAGTCCCTTTGTGAGGTGTTAAAGGTTTTAATGGAGGGAAACCTACAGAGAGACTCGATTGAATTAGCCGCTATATTATGCTATATTTTTCTCACCGTGTATTCAATTCACAAATATCAGCTTTCGCATTAATGGATGCAGTGGCGGTGCAAAAAAATTCAAACAAATAGGAAAGGTGGAAATTTAAAACCAGTTTTATGCTGCCGGACTTCAGCCGACCTCCCTATTATTTGTATGTATATATATGTATTTACGTTAAGTAAATGCATACCAACTAACTGTGCATTACCGAAAGAACAAAAGCAAAACAAAAAAAAAAAGAAAAAAAAAAACAGAATCCAAATAAAAACTAAATAATAAAAGTGAAAA